TATATATATATATATATATTTATGTATGTATGCATCATTATTGCTAGACTGGGCTGTCTTTTTTGCTTCATTAATTCAGCACACTATTTTGACCATCTTATCGCATTAAGAATGGTGACAAAAGTAATAATGCTTTAATGCGGACCAGAAAACTGTGCTTTGCCATATAACAGTGTAAATGCCGAGTCACATTTGCAAATAGGGGGGAAAATTATAATAAGTCCTACTTCATAACTTAAACCCAACTATGGTATCGGCTTGTCCTGGGTTGGCTTCATCCAAGGGCAATGATGTCTTTCAGGAGCTATAAACGACATTCGGGAAAATTTTCAGCAGAAACACAAACTTATCTGAACTAATCGCTAAAGCAATAGTCATACAGAGACTGTTTAATCTGATACTAAAAGTAATATTAGCCAAGAAAATATGGTCATTTATTTAAAATTCGTTTATTTAAAAAAGTAATAAAAAAGCCTGATCAGGACTAATGTTCATTCAGACGGTTCTCTAGTTATCGTATTTACGATTGATTGTCAATATAGGCCTGAATCCCCAAGGATAGAAACTTAATTTCTGTAGACTACCGCGAGAGTTATCGCTGAATAGTGGAGAATTGATCGAGATTTTCACATCGAAATACTAACAGTTCGAACAATTTCTATAATTGAACTATGGACATGGAATGATTTTACCAGCAGAGTCAATTTTGAGATTTGGCTCAAAACAGTCGTCTCGAAGGCCAAGGCGGGGGAGGCTAAGAGAGCATGCATTAGATTCCTTAGGCATCTTCTTTCCACGAAGCTAATTTTGATAGCATAGCTGGAGGGTCTATCAGAGCACGTGTCATCTACATCAGCGCAAATAGCAAACAAGGAGACATGACAGCTTTCCTCCAGCACAATAAATCATGTACGAATGTAAATGTGGGTGTATCGATACCTTTAGTTTATACTACTCTTTCCATTTATTCGAATTTACTTAACTCAAATCCATCCTACACTCTCCCAAGTTAGCCAATCCTACCTCACTACACCGCACCAAAACTCACCAAGGCAAACTTTAATACTCAACTCAACATCACATCACTCCATTCCAAACCATGCCATATCACAGCACATCAAACCCCACCAAATTTGGCCAAATCAAGCTTCCACATATCACTCCACAACATATCACTCCGAACCACTCCGCATCAAACCATACCAAACTTAACCAAACCAAACTTTCACATACCACTCCATTCCACTACATACAACACTAAATTACACGATTCTACATTTAACCACACTACACTGCACTGAACTTGACAAACCCAAGTTTCCACATCACTCCACACCACACCGTACAACTACGAACCACATAATGCCAAACCCAACTAAACAAAACTTCAATATACCACCCACTACGCATAACACCAAACCACATCACTCCATTCCACACTACACCCCACCGCACCAAACCAAACTTCAACACATTACTCTGCATTACTCCACACCTCTTCTTGTTAAACAATCTAACTTCGATCCATCTCACTCCGCCACATTTCAGCATCCCATCTCAACTCGTGCATCTGCTACATCAAACTACAATTTGCCTGTACCTTCATGTCCTTTTTTTCTTAGTCTAATCTTTCCCTCAACCCCACTCCAATCCAATCCATTCTATCTCAACTCAATCCACCTCACTTCATTGTCTACCTCCAACATATCTGTATCACCCTTTGATAGCCCAATGTTTGTGCGTATGAAAATCGCCCGTATTCGCTTGGACGGCGACCTGGATGCTGAACTACAGAAGAATTGCGAGGCCTTCGATGAGGAGGCCTACACGATGGTACAACGAGCCTTCGAGTAGGTCAAACTATTTCGAGCTGCATGTCTCGGCTTTTACATCTCACGTCCTCCAAACTGCACTAAAGTTTGCTAGGCCTTCTTGCAGACTAACCCAATACACTGTTCTATTTTGTTGTTCGCATTTTGGTCAGTTGGCACAAACAACATTCATTGGTAGCTCGGCCAAATTTGATTTTCCTATTCACACGAGCAAGATAATTGAGGCTTTTTCTGTCTCCTTCCCTCTAGGGACTCGTCCGTCTGGAGACTTAGATTCATTTTTTCGCATCTCCTTATTTGACACAAGTAGTATACGCCGGTGCATTTGTATTTCTTTCCTCCCCGAAACGATTACTTTGGCATTGATGGAACATATAAAGCTATGCCTAATTGATGACTGTAGCAGTGATGTGAATTGAGATAATGACGAGCAAACATTAAATATATGTATGAGATGTATTCACCCTATTTCGTTAAGGGGATGAAGGACTGGTAATTAAATTTTCCCACAATTCTATCAATAAGCTTTACGTTTTAATTGAATTTAATATAATCTTGCTTTCCAAAAGGTATTCTCATCCAGGCAGGAATAGACTACAGCTTTGAGCTCGTCTAGGCTTCATCACCACATTCAATAGGACTCAAACCCGGGTTGTAGTAGTGCAGTGTATAATCTATACACGTCAACTACTACGCCACACTGTCACAAGTGTCCTTGGGTGACAGGCCAGACATTTTCCCATATCACATTCCGTGGTGGGATTGCCAATGAAGCAAATTTATATTTGCTATAGCAATCGACCACATCGCATATATATGATCTAGTGGCAATCTCGAAAACCTACTTATAAACGAAAAATCGGTAAGGTAATTGTTTGTCATGGTAAACAACTTTGCTTCATCGACAATTGCATCACAGAATGTCAATGGGGAATATGCCTGGCCTTCCTCGAAATCCACATCTGCCCTTTGACTTAAGGGCACTCATGACAGTGTGGCATAGTGGTTAAGGTGTTGAGACTATCTGCTGCAATACCATAACCCCGGTTTGAGTCCCTCTAGAAGTGGTAATGAGACTTAAACGAGGTCGAAACTGCTGTCTAGTCCAGCTTGAATGTGAATACCATTTCGAAAGCAAGGCTATGCGAGATTTCTAGTAAAAGTAAGGTATATTCGTATCATTGCAGGATAATTTAACAACATAAAATTATTTATATGGTTCGGCTGAAAATGTGATCCTGTAAACATGGCGAGGGTTCAATAGATGTGTTGCAAAACTGTTTTGTGGATTGCGATCATTCGCGGAAACTGATTTAAGAACTAAGCATTATTGGCAAGATAGACTGATATTCGAGATAACTCATTTAAATGCAAGCAACGATACTCGAACTTCAAATTGTATTGAGGCTCTGAATATCTTCAAAGAGTCATCAACCGACAGAAAGTTGAATAATGGCTGCACCTGGTTGGTATGTATATCCCAGCACTCTATATACTTTATGAACTAGGTAGGATCATCAATCTTCAAAGCGCATCAGCTTGCATCAAGACCAAAAGCATGACTAATAGTAAGCGTTATTTTTTTGTAATTGTATTTTTAATTGGTTCGGTTTGCCATTCTTGCGCAAAGTCTGTTTGACACCCTCTCTTCTAACTACTAATTCAGGTTGTAAGCAATCACTGATAATCGGAATGAATGGGTCTAGAAACTGATGTAGACAGTAATTGAGGGAAGTATTCACCCCTAGTTGCATAAGGTGATAAAGAATTGATGGATGAATTTTGCAACAATGATAAGATTAGGCCTCAAGTTACCAGTGAATTTCCTCATCCAGCCTGGATTGCAGTTTCGATCCTGCCTGGGTCTCATCTACACTCTCCAAGGAAATCACGGATAATTTGTGCTAGGGTCTTCTAACGTTTTTATAGTAAATACTAAAAGAAACATAAAAATTGGGTTATAAGTTCAGGGCAAAGGAAAACTAATCAGGTAAAATCAAAAGAAGATAGGAATGACAAAATGGTTGGCCCTTGGTATGGTCACAGTCTCCTTTCTTTCTCTCAACCCCACTTCATATAATCCATTTACCAATTAATACCATTCTGTGTTCTCGTTTCCTCCAATCTCGTATATGAGTGTCGCTACAAATTTATTTTGTCACGTGTAATCACCTTCACCACCGGTTTCAGATGCTGTTTAGTCATGGTTTCTGATTTTCATTTAGCCCCTCTCCATCTCATTTTTCTGTTGTCACCTGCTATGCATGAAATCTACTATCTCCCTGCCTATGAGCCTTCGATTCCAGTCCTAGTTTATGTCTTTTTTGAGGGTTTAAGACAGGTGACAATGCACTACTTTTACATCCTTTCGTATTAGTGAATTCATTGTTCATTTTCTTAATTTACATATTCATATTCATTTTCTTCATAATTTATTGCAGTGCCCCTTTGATTTATCTGTTTGCTCATTTTTTAGCATCCGATAAGTTGTTCTCTCCCCAAAAATATTTTTCATTTTCTATCTGTACTCCTTTCTGCCCATCACTACTGTGGCGCCTCATTTGTAACCTCTCTTCATTTTTTTAATATTTTGTGATATCTTTTCTACTCGTAGGCTCTTGGTGCGCCAAAATGGCTGGTTAGATTTCCATTTCCATCTACCGTTTTGATTCTTCTGCATATTTCTCAAAATTATTTATCACCTCCACAAAAATGTCTTTGAGAGCCTTTTCTTTATTCG